GGAGAGAGACTGGTAGATTCTGTTACTGCTGAGAGGCATTATTTGACATACAACTAGTATTTATTTCCAAACAACAAAAGATATGATATATAAAAATATATGTATATATTATATATGTGTAAATGTGTGTATATACATGCGCACATATGTATGTACACATGTATATATACATACATGCATATATGTATGTATTTATATGTAGTAATAACTTTCCTGCAGTAGACAGAACACATGAATGTAGACCAAGGTGAACCTGCAGCCTTGAGGTCTCATGTGGCCTTCTAGGTCCTTGGGTGAGGCCTTTTGACTGAGTCCAAGTTTTACTGAACAAATCCTTTTATTAATGGGATTTGTTCTGTGAAGTTTGGATTCAGTCAAAGGGCTGCACTTGAGGACCTAGAAAGCTACATGTGGCCTCAAGGCTGCAGCTTATATATGTAGCTTATATATGTGTGTGTGTGTGTGTGTGCGTATATATATATATATATACACACACATCTCAGTCACTCATTAGAGATTTTCATTTCACACATAGAACCAGTAGTCTGGTAAGGGCCCTGCTGTTTATTTGACACAAGCATTGCTTAATAGGGCTTTACTGCTTCTACTTGGGGGATTTCTCAAACGACATGTGGAATTTGTGTACATCAAGTTCATGAAGAAGCACTTTTTGACTGAACCAAATTAGGCTTTTACATTAGGTCGAGCTAAGGTCTTACTTATCCAGTAAGACTGAATCATTCTAAATCTCATAAATTAAAGGAGCAGCTTCTAAGATCAGTGATATCCATAAAACGCACAGGGGGCTAGCTTTTTTTTGGTACCGAAACACAGGAAATAAATGCTCCAAAACATCTGTGGGTCAGTTTAGGACCTCTTCAGGCTAAAGAGGATCAACAGATAAAAGTAGAAATATGCTGGAGCCAACTCATTCTGGGCTCTCAAGAGCTTCAGCCAGTAAGTAAATAAATAAGTATTGCTAAATTTTCAGGGTGATCATTTATACCTGGGAAACTGACAAGTGCTACAAATCAGGCTTGATTTGTTTTGTTGATTATCTAGACTTAAAAAAATGATAAAGAAAATATTAATAATGTAAGCTATACTTAAAAGTGTGCCCTGAATACATTTTTTTTTTCTCTTTCTGGAGAGCTGGCTGTTAATTTGGCAGCATACTCCTGATTGAAAGGGTCCTTAGATATTATCTAGTTCAGTGGTTCTTATTTTTTAGTGTCAGGACCCCTCTAAACTCTTAAATATGATCAAGGATCATCCTGAAGAGTTTTTGTTTATGTGGGTTATATCTGTTGATATTTACTATATTATAAATTAAAACATCTAGTACTATTATGAAAATAGTTTTGATCTCACAGGCTCCTTGAAAGGGTCTTAGGAACCTCCAGGGGTCCTTGGATCACTCTTTGAGAACCGCTCATTGACTTCATCCCTTTGTTTCATAGATGAGCAACCTGGGGGATGGAGATGTTATATGGCTTTTCCAAGGTCAGACACTTTGAAACTAAGAGGCAGGATGAAAACCGAGATCCCTTTGATTCAATGTTTAGGACTGTTTCAAGCTTACCATACTGGGTCCAAGGGTTCCAGTTAGCTGATGAAATAATAAATGATGAAATAATAAAGGGTAAATTATGCATGAAGCAGTTATGCTTTGAGAAAAGATGATCTTAAAATCCATCAAAGTAAAGCCCATGACCACTGACATCATCTGACACGAACCTTGATTTTGACAATTCACATGACCAGAAAGCTCTGAAATTGTTGCATATTCAGATAATCAATGGAAGGCCTTGGAATACTGCAGAATTTGCCAGAGTCCCCATGGATGGTTGTCACTGCAAGGTAGCAGGCAACTCTGGTTGTGGTGTGTTAATACTCAGTAGGATACCTTCCACAATATTTTCTAACAAAGACTCTTTACTGAGGCCTTTGTTTGTCTTTCAGAATTTCAAAGTTTGGCCTCCAGTTAGGAATCAGCTGACTCACACCTTCCTTTAGAGGGCTGCAAGCTCAAAACAAGCTAATGTGCTTTTAGTCTGAGTTCATAAAAACATTTTGTCCAGAACAGTGGAGGTGACAGGCAATGAGCTTTTGCCAACAGTCAGGAAAACACAGGAAATGTACTATACTCTATTGTATTCTGGACTTGCTGTTCTCTGCCCTCATCAGGCCATATCAGGAATATTGTATTCCCAGTATTTAGGACTCTCAGAATTGGAAGTGTCTCAGAGAGCATTGATCCAGCCTACACCTAAACAGGAATTTCTTCCAAAACAAAGCTGTCATATAGTCATTCAGCCTTACTGGAAGAAGGAATCTGTCACCTCTTGAATTAGCCCATACAACTTTTGGGTAACACTGATCATAAGGAAGTTATTTCCTTAACTCAAAACTTAATTTGTCTCTTTGTAACTTCTGCTCATTTCTTCTACTTCTGGATGCCACATTTTAGGAAGCACATGGATAACTTCCAACATGGTGAGGTGACCTAAATCTATGCAAGAATCCCAGAAGCAGCTAGGAATGCTTACCTGGGAGAATTCACAGTACAGATTTAGAGCTAGACTTTCTAAATCCTCTAGTGACTAGTCTAATCCCCTCATCTTAAAGATGAGGAAACAGGCCCGGAGAAGTAAAAGAGAATTTGGTTGCACCTATTTTGTTCCTTTTGAATTACTCTAACTCATGACGAGGGCACTCTGCTCTTCCTTACTCCTCTTCTCTTTTTCTTCTTCCTTCTGCCCCAGACTGTCCTAGAAGTCACTCCAGACAGCCCTGCAGCAGGCAGACCCACCTCCATCCCAGTTACTCTCCCCCATCACTTGGGCCGCTTGACCGCTCACAGGGCTTGCAAGACAAGGGAGTTGGTAGCTCCATTCCTTCCTACAAGATGGCAAGCAACGAGGCCTGACCATTTGCCCCGCTAACATCTCTTAATATCCTCCAGGCCTTACTACCTGCCCTGAAGTCCCCAGCATCATCATCTAACCTACTTAGCCTTTGCATCTCTGGGCCTTGCCATGCTGAGTTGTTGGTCTTCCCAGGCTTTCCATCTGCTCTACTGCTCGACTTTCTTTTATACATTTCCTCTAATTAAAGTGTAAGCTTTTTGAGAGCAGGGACTGTCTCAGTTGTTTCCCCTATTTGTATCCCTAGTACTCAGCATTGTGTTTGGCACATAGAACACTTAATAAATGCTTTTTTCATCCACATTGATAACAGCACATGTTTATAACTTTATAAAGTACTTTTGGTAACTGAATATTGCAGTAATCTTATTTTCTTTAAAAACAAAGTCTAGTTGTGGTGAAGGCTTGCTATTGTATTATTTAGAACATTACTTATCTAAAACATTACTATGGGCTGTTGTTATTTCTGAATGTAATATCCCTCTTTTAGATTGGAAATTCCACCAAGGCACAGGCTGTCTTGCCCAAACTTTGTATTTCCCTCAGTACCCAACGCTCAATAGGTGCTCAATAAATATCTGTTATATTGTGGTATTGGACATCATCTGTGTGCAACTGATTTGCCCTTGTGCTCATTTGGCAGGTACTTTGGTTGTATAAGGATAGGCTTTGGTGGTACCTGGTACCATAGAATGAGCACTCCATAACTATAAAACATTGTATAAATGTGAATTAATAACAACATGTATATTCACATACAGATGAAATTCCCTTTAAGAAACAAGAAGCATGACATTGGTGATAAAACGCTAGACTTAAGGTCAGAAAGATCTTGACTGGAATCTCTCCTCCAATTCTTACTAGCTGTGAGAAACTTGGTAAATCACTGGAGCTCTCTGGGTATCAGTTTCTTCATCTATAAAATAAGGATAATAATACCAACTATATTACCTGTTCTTTTAATAGCTTCAAGCTGCACTAAGACTTTTGGGACACCCTGTAAAGTGTCATGTATTATAATTATTTCCATCTACTAGACTGTAACTTCCTGAGGGCAGGAAAATTCACTTATCTAAACTCTATCTCTTACCCAGGGCTTACCACAATTTTGTACAAAGTAAGCACTAGTGTTTAGAATAGTGCTTGACACATTGACACATAGGGAGTCTAACATATGCCTCCTGATTAATGTTTGTTCAATAAGTACATGTTGAATGGTTTGTGTTCAATTAGCAGAGCCTTTGAGAACCCATGGCCACCTGCACTCCAAGATGAGGCACTGTTATAGAATTGAACAAATGGGGGCAGCTAGGTGGCACAGTGGATAGAGCACCAGCCCTAAAGTCAGGAGGACCTGGGTTCAAATCCGGCCTCAGACCAAACACTTAACACTAGCTGTGTGACCCTGGGCAAGTCACTTAACCCCAATTGCCCCCCCCCAAAAAAAATAAGAATTGAACAAACGGATTATGAGTTTAACTCTGGCAAATAATGAATGGTCTTCATCAATCAACTTCCTCTTCTATTCACAGAAGCTTCTATAGGTTCTATTCATTCATCCATTCAACATCTGCTATGTGCACATTATACGCGCACAAAGATAAGTAGGACATGAATGGCCCCAGACAAAGATTGGATGGTGTCAATTCCCACAGTGCTGGTTTTCATTAACCATCTTATGTTAGGCAATTAGCAAAGCCAGGCTCATGCCAGGGATTTTTGACCTGCTAAACAATGGCAGCAGGGAAGAACGATTCTTCCAGACACAAGCTGAAACTTCCTAAAGGTAGTTCACTATTGGTAACTGACCATGACAATTCCCTACTAAACCAATGCTCTAGATAATGGCTGCATCTGCTTTCCAAGGACAGGCAGGACAAGGGTGCAGAATGATGGGGGGGAGGGGAGATAGGTAGGTGAGGAGTGCCGGGAAATCCCCAGGACTGAGTCCTCTGACTACCCACTGTTAACAGGCTCCACAATATCACAGCAACTGTAGAGTTATCCAATGTACTTCCACTTGCAAGAAAACCCATTAGCTGATCTAAGTCTGACAAGGAAGAGAATAAAAACTGTTTTAGAAAAATATTGAAGCTTTATTTGTATGTGTGTAGTAAACAGCTATCTTCAAATACTCAAACTTATAGAGGAAGAAAGCAGCTTTCTATTTGTCTTCTCTTGGCTAATTTTTCTAAAATTTTGAACAAATGGATTGTATACAGTAGGGAAAAAAGAGAGGAAAAAATAAGCGCAATTAGAGGAAGCCCCCAAACCCAAAGGTTGGTCTTTGCAATAGGTTTCCAATGCTTAGAATCTTACAGGGCACTTACTCTACAAACCATGGTTAATTCCAAATATCTCCTCTCCAATGTCTCTTAAATAAGGCCTATAGATTCAGTCCAGCTGATGGAAATGTACTGGGGAATTCAAAGAGATTATATTTTGTCTTTAATAGGGAGCAGAAGTGGACTTAACTGCCAAACATCATTCAACACCCATAGTGAGGGGACAAGACCCAAAGGTCCGAGGAAGCAGGCAATGTGCACAAGCAAACAATTTTAAAGAGCACGCTCTCTTAGCTATTATTCCTCCACCTTCACTGAGAGAGGAGCTTCTTGAGTCTCTGTTAATAAAAACTTTTATAGGACAATGACTAGATCTCATTCACAGCTTGCACAGAGTGAGATCAGAACAGGTTTCAGGAAAATCTTGAAATAAATATTCTCAATTTTTACTGGTTCAACACAACCAGAAGTGATCCATATCAGGCCCAGGGACACAGACACAGGAATTGTTGTGTCACAAGTGTACACAGAGAGACAACCAGACATTATAGATGGTGAGCTGGCCCCACGGTGAAGAAGAGCTGAGTTCAAGTCCTGACACCAACATGTATTGTCTATGGGAGCCGAGACAAGTAATTTAATGTCTCAGTGACACAGGCAACTAATTCCGTTAGATTATAACCTTCAGAGCAGGTACTTAGCTGCCTTAGAAGAGGGAATTTACTACAGTGATGAAATCACAGATCTGGTTTAGGGAAAAAAAAAAAGCGCACACAGATTTCTCCTAAATCCCTTGAGGGCATGGGCAGGACAAGTGAGTTTCAGCTGATCTTGGCTCATGCTCCCAGGGATGCAACTTTTATGTGCAAAGAAGACAATTATGATCATTAAGTGCTTAATAAATGCTTGTTGACTTTGGAGCTCTCAGAAATCCATTTGCTCCAAAGTTGTTATCAACTTATTAGGGGAAAGGGTTAGAAGATGGCTGGGGAGCTAGGTCATGAAACTGTGGTCCCAAAAGTGAATCTAGGCAAGAGGTTTGGTTCTGTTTTGACCAAGCATTTCCAGTGGCTGTTCCCTGTGAATGCATATTTTTGCAAAGGCCACTTCATTCCCGGAATTTTTCCTTAGCAGAAAAATACAAGATTTCTTCAGTATCGCATTTCTTGGGAACTTGAAGCCCTTTCCTCCCAATGCAAGCATTCATGACTTCAGTGTCACTTTGAAGGAATTAATAAGCATTATACTCACTGTTTCAGAGGTAGAAATAGTAGTTACATGCCCCTGGGCATCACCTTCTTCCACTTGGGCCACATAAAGCACTTTGTTTTGCCCCTCTCTGATACCCTTCTCATTTAATATTTTGTCTTATGGTTATCTGGGCACATTGTGAAAACTAGTCCTTCCCTTGGACCTATACCCATGCTAATAGAGTGGTAACACCCTTTCAAAAGTGACCAAAACAAACTGGAAGTGTTCCCATAATGAGTTACCTGATACAAGTTCCACAAATCTCATTGCTTTCGTAAAGAACCAGGACTGAAACATTTGTACGACTGACTTTTGGAGGGGGACAGGGGAAAAATGTAAGTGACTTTGGCTTTCAGGTTTGTACTGAAGAGATTCATGACAGCCTAATATTCAAGGCCAAACCATATTGAAGTAGGCATTGTTACAAATACCTGTATTTCAAAGTCGACTCTGTTGACCATCAGTAGACCGGTGTTTTCTAGCATGGCAGCACACCCACATTGTGTGAGTTATGGTGAATTCATAGTCCAGAGGCAAAAGGAGAGAACACAAATTATGTGATGTACACACCACCCCTTCGTGGTGACAAAAGGACCAGTGGGCATAGGTTATTCAGAGACATTACCCAAGGCAAAGAACAGATGGGCTGTCCTGACACACCCGCTACTCAGGCACCTGCCACCCCAAGGGCAGCAGGGATGGCAACCAGTGGTTCCTATCACTCCTCCCCACACATACCACGTGGCCTACTACTAATCCCCATTACCAAGCAATCAGGAGGGTTGTGCCAAGCTCTGAGGAATCCTCTTGCAAAAGCAAGAGGTCAGCTGTAGGTACCTTATATCAAAGTTCCCTTTCCCCTAAGGTCTGGTCTGGTCCCCACAGTGATGAGTGAACAACTCCAGATGTGGAGCAATGTGATTAATAGCAAGAGACAAGGTGTTAGTGCCATACAGATAAATAGTGTGTCCATCCCCCAGTTGTTCTGGGGGATTGGTTTAAGTGGCAATTAGAGGATGAATATCAAAGATCACAGCTGATTGGCTTCAGGTGGTTGCATCCTGTAGTCTTTTCCACATCCCGACATTGCTATCTCTGGTCATCCTGGAAACCAGATGCTAAGCCAGCTCTTCTGGCTCTGTCAGCTGCTCCAGGCGCTGCAACATCATCAGGCGGAGAGTGTGGAACCTTATGGGAGACACAATGCACAGATCTCACCCAGGGCTTGGCTAGATAGCCTGTGCAATAGGGAATGTGGGATCCTTGCCAGGGAAAACCTGGATGCTTTGTTATTATGAAAGGCTGTGTAGCCCATGAGCCTGGTTCCTCAAACATTTGTAACTTCTGTCTTGGCTTAGGCTATGTCCTCAGTTCTCTGAACCTTGCTCCTCCCCAACAGCACCCTCATTTCTGGAGGCTGCTTCACAGAGATAGAAAGGAATCTTTGACGAGCTCTGGAGCCTCGGATTTTTGCTGTATTTTTTTTACAGGCTGTACTATTTTTGTCAAATAAACAATAATAAGAAGATATGGCATTTCCCCCAGATAGTACGAATCCCAAAACACTCACCTCCGGTAACGGGTGAATTCTCAACTCAGCTTTGTAAGCCAGGAGGAAAAAGCTATTTTCTCTCTATTACATGGTTTAGGGAGAGGTTTAAGAAAGATCAACTTCATAGATTATTTTTTTTAAAGTCACTACCATATGCAAGGCACTGTGTGTTTAAAAAAACAAAAAAAAAAACAAAACACGGGTGTAGCTCTTCACCAAAATTAATAGAAATCCAGAATTTAGAGTTGGAAGGGACATTAAAGGTCCTTCAGTCCAAGCCATTTATTTTATCCAAGAGGCCTGGGGAAATGAAAGTGACTTCCTCAAGAACACAAAGCTAGTTAGGGACTCTAGGCTTACTCTGTCTGCCTGAACAATAAAAAGCATTGAATGAGTGGTCATTGAATGAACATCCCCCATGAGTGGTCCTCACCTGCCCTTCCTCCTTTGGGCAAGTAGAGCTGTGATCTATTTTGATGATCTAATATCACCTAACTTTGAAAAGGTCTTCCTGATCACATCTGTAATTAAATGGAACCAAATAATTGGAAAGTACTGTCTTGTATCTGAGAGCACGCAGCTAATATCTCATCACTTTTCCCTCCAAAGATCTAAAAACACCATCTGGTGCAATCAGATTTCATCACTTGACTGGCTCCTTTTAAAATATCTGTGCTGGAAGCAAGTGCCAGGCTTACACTTTCTGTTGTTTAAAAACATCTCTTCCCTGGACCTAGCCTACACTTCACAAGAATTCTTATCCCATTTTTTCCCCATAAAGCTCTTTGGATATTTCCAGACTACCTTCTACTTTATCACATTGTCAGTTTATAATGGGATTACAGAGAGACAAAGGACTTCCCCGAGTTTCTGACCTTGGGGACACGTTTTTCAGTAGCCTCTGTTTCCCTTGTACCATGTGGATGATAGATCTCAAGGCTACTTTCCAACTAAAAATAAATGGGATGTCATAGCAGCCACACAAAAATGCCATGGAGCATGAGGGTGGAGCAGATGGGAGATTGGGTTTACTGAAATTAACCTAAAGACTTTTTGGCCATAGAGAGTGAAGCACCCTTGCCATCCTAATGGAGGATGTCCACTCTGCTATCCATGTGGTGACCCTGATGGATAGCTACTATGTGGATTCTTTGGAACTGCTTACTTCAGAGTCAGTTTGATTATTTCTCTTTCCTCCTCTTCTTTTAATTTTTCAACAAAACTGTCCAGCACCGGCATTTCAAACTTAATGTACTGAGCGACCTAGAAGATCCAAGAAGATTTAATATTTTTTAAAAATGTTTTTTAAATTTTTTTTTTTTGCTTTTCAAGTATGGCTTCATTGGCATTCCAATGCAACAAGACATGCCAGTTCCTTGTAAATGTTACTCCCCCACCCTGCCCCTGACAAAATCCCTAGGTATCAAGTACTAGAAACTAAACAGTGAGTGCAGAAAATAAAAAAGGTCCCATTATTATTTTCAGAGGAGGTATTATCCATTAGAGGAAATATAAACTAAAGATTAGGAAAAGCATTCAATAGTGAAATACACTCACATTGAGCTCTCTCAGGGGGAGTGGTTCAAGTCACATTCTCTTGAACAATGAGAATTGAACTTGAAATAGCCCTCAGAAAAGTAATGGAGGGGGTGGGGTACAGGGAAGATATACAACATTTGAACAATTCTGTCTTGGGAATAGACTCTGTGGGATCTACAATTGCCTAATCTTTTTCCCACTGGTAATTTTGGAGATTTGCTAATCATTTGGCCAAGAACCAGAATGACTAGGCTCTAATGAAAGCTATCTTGACCTCAAGATTAAGATCTCTGGTTAAAATATTTTTTCTAGGTTGTCCAAAAGAATACCAAAAAAAAAAAAAACCCCTCTAATTTCAATCAAGTTTTTTATCTCTGAGGGGAAAAAAAGTGGGGTAAGGGCAATTTTTCCCTTACTTGGTTTCTTTGTGATACCATTTCTTGGAGGGGGAGGGGGAGGGGGAGGGTGAACACAGGTAAGGAAGATAGCTGGTCCATTTCAGGTAATAGAGTGGAGTGGCCATAGATATGAGTCTATTCTGGCTGATGGGGATCTGCAAAGGTCTAGCAGGGGTACCAGTCAAAATATGAATGGGATGAAATGAGGAAATCGTTTATCTGCTTTGCTCAGGTGTCCCTATTAAAAATACATGCTCCCTAGTCCCTATGCCCCTGACTCCCACTTACATCATAAGGAACTTCTTCTCCCAAGTCCGTTTCCATCAGAAATATTTTGGCAATTTTCTCACATGGCCCGTGTAGGATTCTTGAGATCAGTGGATATTCACAGTCTTTTAATTTTGTGCGTTCTGGAGGAAGGAAGGCATGTAAGATCTAGATGTTTTGTTTTGTTTTGAAAGACATTCTCCTCTTTACAGGACAAATATTGATGGGGCTGAGGAAAAACAGGCACATTGATGTGCTGTTGGTGAAACTATGAATTGGACCATCCATTCCAAAAAGCAACTGGACCCCCAAATTGACTAAACTGTGAGTACCCCTTAACCAAGAAATATCAGCTCAAGGGCTATACCCCCAAAGAAACAAAAAGGACTATATATATTAAAAATATTTATAGCAGCAGCTTTTGTGGTGGCAAATAACTAGAAACTAAGGGAATGAATGCCCATCAATTAGCGAATGGCTGAATGAAATAAGGCATTTGAACATAATGGAATATTATTTTGTGCTTCAGGAAATGACAAAAGAGAGGATTTCAGAGCAACCTGGGATGACTTTTTTTTTTTGGCTTTTTTTGGTGAGGCGATTGGGGTTAAGTGACTTGCCTAAGGTCACCCAGGTAGTAAGTATTAAGTGTCTGAGGCTGGATTTGAACTCAGGTCCTCCTGACTCCAAGGCCAGAGCTCTATTCATTGTGCCACCCAGCTGCCCCACGGGAAGATTTCTACGGACTGATTCACAGGGAAGTGAGTTGAACCAAAAGAACACTTTATAAAACAACAGGACTATGTACGGGAACAAGTTTAAGAAAGAGGAAAGACTTAAGATTTTTGATGAGTACAATGACTAATTACAATTCCAGAGGACTGATGATGAATAATAATTACCCACTTCCTGACAGCAAGAAAGCTGATGCAGAATGAGACATGCATTTTTGGACAGGGCCAATGGGGAGATTTGTTTTGCTTAACTGTGCTTGATGGTTACAGAGATTTTTTTTCCCTTTTCTTTCTCAAAGAGAGATGGGGGGGAGGGAGAGAAAATAAATAATTTTTAAATTGAAAAATTTTTTAAAAAATATTCCTTTTTCCAGACTACAGTACTTCAACCCAGGACACAGAAATCTGGGAAACTATTACCAAGGCAGGTTAGGAGGTTAGGATCACTTAAACTCAACCAAGAGCAGTTGGAAGGCAGGGATCACTAAAACAGGACAATATTTGTGATTTCTGTGATGGTAGATTGCATTAAAAAGAACAAAAGCTGAGAAACTGCAAAGGGGATAGAAGTTCCTTTTAAAATATGCAATCAATCTATGAGCAAGAAAGGTGGAGAATGGATCATAGGATCAGAAAGCTTGAGCTAGAAGGGAACTCAGAGGTCATCTCTGAAGTGAGTACAACTCATCATTCTACAGATGAGAAAACTGAGGCCCAGCAAATTGGTGGCTCAGAAGGAATGTATGCTTTGTGACTACTATACGAGAAGTCCAGTAAAATTCTCCAGTTAGCATCTTAGGAATGATGGTAAAAGTTGTCAGCTCTTCTTGGCCTATGACTGACTAGTTCTGTTAATTAAAATAGTGTGTGAATGAGAGCAGGGCCATGGGGTCATGCTCATACTAGTCTCATTCCTTACCAAGACCATAGATTCCCAATAGCCTCTCCTCTATCCTACCCGCAGACATGAAGTAGACTTTGACCATTGGTCATAAGGCAGACTGGGCCAGAGAGTACTCAGATGGGTCAGTATGAATCCATCCCCACTACTGGAAGAATAACTGAAAGCACAGAGTGTACTGATTAATGGGTGGCAATATCATCTTCCTATTGGAAGAAGTAGAAGAGATTTTAAAATTCAGCTCGTTCATGTTACAGATGCAAAGAGGATCAGTTACTTGCCCTAATTTATACAATAAAATTTATACAATAAAAATTTATACAATAAAAAACAGCAAGGACAGGACTCAAATCCAGCCCTTCTCTGACTACTGCTTTCTTTATAAACAAGGGAATTCATGATTCTGAGGTTCCAGTGAAGTGCACCTGGGTATATTCAAATCAGACCCTCTGTGAGCACCTCTAGCTCAGTTCCTAATGAGCTTTCTCATTGAATATAAACTTAGTAGTTGCTAATATTCTCTTGATGCTAGGCCAGGCCTAGCTCACTTCAATATAGATTTGAGATTAGAATGTAATGAGCCACCCGTGGATCATCAAAGGTAACAAAAATAATTTTATTTAGAATGAGATCTAAAAGGATACAATTACTAAGGTTTAAAGAAGAAAAAAGAAAACACTATTCCCTTCAGCCTCCACAGCAGCCAGAACACTAGGTCAGAATAGCAATGAAAATTCCTTGAAAAGCAATGAGAATTCAGGTAAAACCTCTGAAAACTCCAGACAGGATAGGCCATTTATTGGTGGCAAGAAGCCAAAATGTCCTCCCCACATCCATAAAAGACCAGCCTAGACTCCATAGAACAGATACCATTCCTGTCCCACTCCCCACCTCTAAATCCTAGTCAGTCTTTTCCCCTAAGATCGAGGGTTTTTAGGGAGAATCATGTGGTTCAGGTACTTTTTTTTTTTGCGGGGGGAGGAGGAAAGACTTAAAAAAAGAGGAGGAAAGGTAGACCCAAAGTATCACAGTATTAAGACATGGTTGTGTTTCTATATCACTTCTCTATTGTAAAATCCTTCATACAGAATATTTGGTGGCAAACATTTCCATAATTGGGAAACAGGACAAGCATATGAGGGTTTGTTTCAAGTTACAAGATGGTAGCTGGGCCAGAAATAAGTCATGTCTCCACCTTATCTAGTTGCAAACTGACAGTGACTTCACCCAATAGAGGTGCTCTGTAATATCTAGAAGCATTTGTCAGGCCAAAAGTGCCTTTTCTCATCTTAGGCAGTAAGGTTCTAAGATCATAGATCTAAGACTGGAAGGGACCCCAGGGGCCAGCTATCCAACTTGCTCATTTTACAGTTTAGAAAATTGAGGCCCAGCAAAGTGAAATGATTTTCCTGAGGTCACAGAAGAAGGATATGAACCCAGGTCCTCTGAGTGCACAGTCAGGGTTTTTTCCATTGTATTGTACTTCCTCCTACTAAGAAGCCTGGTCTGCTCAGGAAAGGGACCAGGAGGAGCCAGGGTAAACCAGTGCAGCCCAGGAAGTCTCCTCTCCTCTAGTATCCATCAGGACTACAAAGGAAACAGGACAAGGGCAAGCTGAAATAGGATGGAAAACCTCAGGAGGATCTAGAAGTAGAAGACTTAGGTTTGTATCAGGACTCCGCCGCTTCTACCTAGGTGACCAGTTAGCCTTTCTTAGTCTCATTTCACCATCTGTAAAATAGTGAAAGTAAAATTCCCTACCTCACTGTGCTGCTAGAAGGAATACACAAGCAGCAACTTAAGGCAGTGAATTCCATTTGTGAGAACTTTCTCCAATGTGGACATGACTTAGTAAATTACGTCCCTGGGATTGTCTTAGGCACATAGGGGTTAAATGAATTGCCCAGGGTCACACAGTGAATAATTGGCAGGTGTTCTGAAATTATTATTATTGATAATGTAAATAAATAATAAAAATAACCCTGACTCTGCCCATCATCATCATCATCATCATCATCATCATCATCATCATCATCATCATCATCATCAACATTTATACAATGCTTTAAAGATTTCAAAGTACTTTACATTTGTTTTCTCATTTGATTCTGAGAACAACTTTGTGAGGTAAGTGCTATTATTAACCCCATTTTACAGATGAGGGAAGTGAGAAATTAAGTGACTTCTCCAGGGTCACACAGATAATAAGTGCCTAGAGGTGGATTTGAACTCAAGTCTTCTTGTCTCCAAGTCCACCATCCATTATGTTGTGTGCTTTTTTTTTTGATGAGTAAAGTGCTTTATAAATGTGAGCTCCTGTTGTTATTATTGTTATTATTATAGCCACAACTGGCCTCCTCTTTGGCTGCGCTCCAATGATGCACAACCACCATGGCATGTGCCCTTGGGATTCAGGAGCCTGAGTATCTGGGATATCTTCTTCCAACTCATCACTTTGCTTCTCATCAACAGTAAAGTGCCTGGGGCATAGTAAATGTGCAACAAATAAATGCTTATTTCCTTTTTTCCATTTGTGTCAAATAGTTAAATTAATAAGTATATATTAAGTACCTACTATGTGCCAAAACATCATTTTATCAGAGTCCACTAGTAAAATACCCAAACCCAACTGCAGGTGTTACCATTAAGAAGGAATGCTTGAAACTTACCCCCTGATTCATGAACGACATAGAGTGCAAACTCGCTGGGGCCATTTTCAACCTGCAACATTCAAAACAAGATATTAGAGCCAAGACTTAGAGATGTCTCCTCATAGTATAGGACTCAGTGTGTATGGACCCTAGCTCATCACCACCTTGACCCTTGCCATACTTGCTTCTCCTTCTGACTCAAGTATTTCTATTAATAGCATAACCACTCTCTTAATCACCCAAGCATAAAATCTGAATCACATATATGTATATATACACACACACATATGCATGCACGCATGTATGTACATGTATATAGGTATGTATCTTATATATACCTAACTATTTACAGGATTTTTTGCCTCATTAGAATATGAGCTCCTTGAGGACAGGACCTATTTTTGCCTTTCTTTGTATCTCCAGTGCTTAGCACAATACCAAGAACACAGTAGGTATTTAATACATGTTAACTGACAAAATCCAATCTCCTCATTTTACAGAGGCATAGACAGGATAAGAAATTTGGCCGGAGTCACGTAGCTAGTAAGTATCTGCTGCAGGAGTATGAGACCAGGTCCTTCAGTGTCTCCTCTCCAATGCCAGGCTCAAGGAGGTTAAACCCAAGGGGACACAGGTAGCTAGTGGAATTTAACCAAGACCTCTGACTCCAGAGCTAGGGCTATTTCCATTTCAAAATGCTGTCTCCTCAAGGGCAGAGACTATTATTTTATTTATTTCTATTTTTCTTTCTGTCTTTCATAGTGTCAATCATAAGACCTTGGACATATGCATTTGATAAATGTGGCCAAATGAATTAATTTAAAGTAGAAGATGTACCTTATCTCTTGTACAACCTACCAACACATAAGCTATCTCCTTAGCACTATTCTGCACAGCTTGACTTTTTTCCTTCTCCTAAAATAGAGGTGGGCAAACTATGGCTCAAGGACCCAATCCAGCCCACCACCTGTATGTCTACAGTGAGTTAAGAATGTTTTTTACATTTTTAAATAAAGTTTTATTGTACTTTAAAACCCACAAACATTCTTAGCTTATAGGCAGTGGGATCCAGCCCCTGGTTGTAGTTTGCTGACCCCTGCCCTAAAAGGACACCAGATTGCCTCCACTCCGATAGCCTCTAGGCTATAAAACTCTAACAAGTATATGTCTACACAGACCCAGAACTGCCATGGGGGCCCCTAGGCTTCTCTCCCTCAGTAGATGTGAACCATGCCTTCTCCCAGGCTGGCTTACCCTAAACTTGTTCAGAAGCAGGGTCAGCACTTGGACAGTTGTCATGGTGCTGTTGACTCTCACATTGGTCACGGAGCCATAGGCAGGAGTAAACACTGAGGTCTGAGAGAGACAAGAAGTGCTGATTAGATAGAGTAGGAGGCAGATCCATGCTCCTGTCACGCTGCTAGCTTACCTGCGGCACGCGGCTCTGGCATGGGCATCTCTGGCAGATGGAGTGGAAGTTAGAGAGCTCCATTCACTGTTCACATGGAACACCTGTGGCCATCTGCTACTAACTCCCTGGAACAGGATTACCAAACCAGCCCCTCCACCCTCTATTCCTCAGCTACACTCAGGTTGTAAGGGCTGTAACTCTGGAATCTGCTTTAGATTTTTCATCCTATCAGAGAATCAGTAAAGAGGCAATAGTGACTTAATGGAGAAAGTGCTGGCTGTCGACTTAAGAAGATCTGGGTTCAAGTCCAGCTTCTGACACAGTCCAGCTGCAAATCACTTAACCTCTCACTGCCCCAGCCAGCTCTCCAGACTAGAAATTGCAATGATAGAGAAACTCTCTCACCTGAAGCTCCATACACTTTTAGAATCACAGTCCCACTCTAAGAGAATCTCAATACTGAAGACACTAAAGAAATCTCCTACCAAGGCTGAGCCTAATTTACACAAAAGCAATTGGTTGATTCAGTCAATCCCCTCTGGATGGGGGAAACCACTGGAGACTGTCCTGAAATATCCACAGTCCTAATAAGAATGCTTTAGAACAAACGAACGAATGAATGAATGAAAAAGCATTCATTAAGCCCTTACTATGGGTCAGACATTATACTAAGCACTGAGGATGCAAACAGAAGGACAGTACCTAGTCATTTCACCAACCTTAACCTGACTTGATGAACCCAAATTTCTAGCAAAGAATCCCCAAAACAAGGCTGTAACAGCCTAAGGACTAAAACAAAAGAGCAGAAGGAGCATCATCATGTTGATGTTAAACAGAAGTCCTACAACAGCAGCAGTGGGGATGCAAATAATAATAGTAGTCATTATGAAAAATGTCTTGCAATATTTTACATTTTATTTTTAAGACATATGTTTAATTTTTTCATATATATTACCAACTAGGTCCAAATGTAAGAAGTAGTTTTTTCCCAAAAATATGGCTAGGACAAACCTGAGTGTGACCTAACTAATGTTTTTTTAAGTGTTTCTGTGTGTAGGCATGTATCTCCCTCTGAACTTTCAGGATTATTATAAAAGATTCTAGAATTATATTTTTAAAAATGGACTGAGGAGCCTCAGTTCTGATGCAGATACCCCTATATGTGTTATTTATATTTACAGAGGTTTAAGTATATTTATTCACACAGATAAATGTGCCTATATCTACGTGTGTAGGTGAAACACAGGCAGCTAGGTGGCGCAGTGGATAGAGTGCTAAACCTGGAATCAGGAAGACCTGAGCTCAAATCTAGCCTCAGACACTTCCTAGCTGTGTGACCCTGGGCAAGTAACTCAACCCTATCTGTCTCAGTTTCCTCATTTGTAAAATGATCTGGAGAAGGAAATGGCAAACCATTCCAGTATCTCTTCCAAGGAAACTCCAAATGGGGTCATGAAAAGTCAGACGCAACTGAAATGACTGAACAACAACATGTGGAATACACACACACACACACACACACACACACACACACACACACAAACACACAGCCATATTCTATATATAATGTATTGTGTGCGCCACATACCATATATATGTATTATGCATGTACACATACACACACAGTCATATTCCATAGATATATATGTGTATTATGTATGCCACATACTATATATATGTATTGTGTGTGTGCATACACACACACACATATACACACACACACATAGAATTAGAGTTAGGAACTCCCAATGAAGATTTATTTATTTCTCTCTGTCTCTGGTAAGCAATATGCTATAAAGGGGATAGAATAGGTCTCAGAGTTAAGAAGAACCAGATTTAAGTCCTGTCTCTGATGTATACTGTCTGTGTGACTTGACCCTTGCCAAGCTATTCAGCCTCTCTGTGCTCTAGGCCAGTGAGGTCAAACTCAGAAAGAAATGGAAAGCACTAATCTGTACATAAAGATCTCTATGGGCCACAGAGTGACTTAGCTTTAAAATGTGGTATTATCTATGTTAAATTGTATTTTTATATACTTTGCGAAATATCTCCCAATTACATTTTAATCTGGTTCAGGTAGCACTTGGGCCTTATACGATCCAAGACCACATATCTGACACCTCTGCTCTAGGCAACTCTCTAAGGCCATAAACTACAGAAATGTTGCCCATCTGCTTTGGTAAAGGAAGTTTCCTCATGTGGGAGTTACCTATACCAATAAAATCACAGGTCTAGTCCCTGAACCTATATACATTTACATATGTACACACACACACACACAAACACACACACACACACATATATTGCACAATGTATGCATATACCAATATACTTACATACATAAACATGCACATATGATTATGCATGTACATATATACATACATGTGTATATACATACACATATGTGTGTGTGCGTATCAGCAGACCAACAGTTCTACTTCCAGTCCAGCCCTCACAGTTATCATCTGGAAGTGGCGGTCAGCCACTGCCCACCAATTGCCCACTAGAGGGCAGGTAAGCCAGAAGCAGCAACCCGCCCCACCCCAGGAGGGGGGGAAGAAGCAGGAGGCAGCCCATGCCAGACTTTGACCTTCACCTTGGCTACCACACCCCCATAGACGCTGATGTCAATACCCTGAACCCAAGAGTCTTGGGGATAGTCATGCTTCTCAGCCATTATCCTATATAGATGCAGCCTGGCTACTGTTCCTGCAGGGGCTATGGCCATATCTATCGAAGAATCAGAAAAGAAAGTCCTGGTCACCAAAGTCTTTGGCCCTGACAAATACTTTAAATCAGAAAGGAATATGATTTTACAGAATAAATGACATCAAGGAAGAAGCATTGCCATCTGCTTCGTGGTTGAATATTCAGGAACCTGGCATCGTCTCATCTGACTTGCAACTGAAATCTACAATGGGGACTTCTTCCCCATGACAATGTGAGCTCCCTGAGGGCTAGCTAGCACTGTCTCAGTTTTCTATTTGTATGCCCAGCATTTGTGTACTGTATTGTGTACATACAATAAGTGCTTAATCAATGTTTCATTTATCCATATAATATACACAAAGAAAGAGATACAGAGACACAGAAAAAAGAATGATAGAGAGACAGAGCGAAAAGAAGGGAACATGCCAAAGTGGAGAAAGAACTAGACCCAGAGTCAGATGGACCTGTTCAAGTTTTATCTTTAATGTATACTGGCTACTAGTGATTCACCCTCTCGGTGCCCTAGGCAGCTTTCTAAGACTCTAAACTGCGAGGCAGTTGCTTACTTTCATTTGTGAGTTCCCTAAACAAAGGAAATCACAGATCTGGGCTGGCTCTGAGTCTCTCAGCTTCTCACTGTCTTTGTTTCCCTCTCCATCTCTCTATTTCTCTGTGTCTCTCTGCCTTTCTGCCTCTGTCTCTCTCCATCTGTCTCTGTCTCTCTGCTCCTGTCTGTATCTGTTTCTAATATATGCATGTCTGTTTAAGTATGCATATTTTCATATCTAATATGTCTCACTTTAGGGGTGAGACCTGTACTCAGGGTATTCCTATAGTATGCCAATTATAACCTTGATCACACTGGCCCACTGTCTGACACCAGACTGAATGCCAGGGAGATGACAAGGTGATGACCGTCACACCAAAGAATGTTCCAGGATCCTGATAGAATTAATGAAGTCTCACAAGGTTCCTAATTTAGCATCATGTTGAGGCTTAGATCCTGGGGGAATTGGGTTCTAAAATATAAAATCCTTCTGGAATTTCAAGATTATTATTAAAAATATTCACAATATATAAAAGAATGGACTGAATCCCAATTTGGATACAGAGCTTCTATGATCGGTAATGTTCTTTTCTCTTCTAGAAGATGCATTGCCCTTCTCCAACATTTCACAAAATTGCTTCATAAGGAATGTCTAGAAACTTCACCAAGGTTTCCTCAGTTACCTTTTGTTTTTTTCCCTTTTAAAGAAGTAGCAAGGTGGTGCAGTGAACAGTGCATTAAGCCTGAAGTCAGGAAGTCCTCAGTTCAAATCCAGCCTTAGACATTGACTAGCTAAGGGCTCCTGGACAAGTCACTTAATCTTTGCTTCAGTTTTCTCCTCTGCAAAATGGGGGTAATAGCATTTACCTCACAGTGTTCTAAAGAGAATTAAATGATACAATATTTATAAAGTACTTAACACCTATAGAAATGCTTATTCCCTTCCCCTCCTTTTCCGGTTCACTAGGTACCAACAGTAACTTTCTCAGATGAAAGTAAGCTTCAGCAATCTAAAATCAAAGCTGTGGGTCAGATTTTCAATTTTATTAAAAGTCTTAGTTATTCACAGGCATTTTTGAGGGGATTGGCCTAATTTCTCTCCAGTATTCACTGAGGGGCCCTGTTTATCTGCATATCAGGAAGAAGTAATTTTCTTGAGCTTAAGTGGTATCAAAGGTTAAATTACATCTGGACCTTGGTCTTCCGGGCCTGAGGCCAAAACTCTAATCCACTATCATACTGAATGCTCCTGTATGGGTTAATAAAAATGAGGCCCAAACAGCCTCATTTCCTGTTGTCTTTCCGTGCTCTCTATCAGCCCTTAAGGGGAGAAAGGTCCAAAGCTGAATATCAGAAGTCCTACAGTTCAAGCATTTATTTAGCACCTACTATGTGCCAGAAACTATGCTATGCATTTCCTTCTTATCTTTGCCACTGTCCAAGGCTAGAAATTCACTTGTCGAGTATAAGAGATTCATTTTTAGATCTAGGTTGAACTAGAGAGTTATTGAGGTCATTTTTTCAAGATCTAAAATTCTAGGATTCTCTGACAATGTCATTGTGCCTCTGTCAATTTAGATCCTCTCCAAACAAATTCACTTATTAAGCAGCTCCTCAGTGCAGTGTGCTGCTAAGCTCTGGGGGAGATACAACATTTACACAAATGAGTAAATGGAGATCATTTGAGAA